CTTGTTCGCATCCCCCACTTGGGGGAGACGGAGGTGAGAACGGCATTGCCGCCTCGACACGACCCTGCCGTCAGCACAGCTGTACTTGCACCCCGCTGTTTGTTCAAATTCTGGTTGTGATCTCATCATGTGTCCTGGGCTTGTGGTCTAATTCCCCAGACCTTCACAAATCGACTGTCAATCTCCGGACACCTACCCCAGCTACTACTGTGACTGCCACGTCATCGCCACTTCCTCCACGGTCTGTGCCCCTGTGTAGCAAGACATCGCCCACCGAGGCCAAGTGAAGAAGCTGACTTGACCTTCCCCCTGAGAGTGGATCACTGTTTCCAGAACCTTCCCCAGGGCCGCCACCGTAGGAAATATCTATTCATTGTTTGATTCCATTAATTGTTTGACTCCCTTAATTGTTTGACTCCATTAATTGTTTGACTCCCGTAATTGTTTGATTCTCTTAATTGTTTGATTCTCTTAATTGTTTGACTCCCGTAATTGTTTGATTCTCTTAATTGTTTGATTCTCTTAATTGTTTGACTCCCGTAATTGTTTGATTCTCTTAATTGTTTGACTCCATTAATTGTTTGACTCCCGTAATTGTTTGATTCTCTTAATTGTTTGATTCTCTTAATTGTTTGAATCCATTAATCGTTGACTCCAGTAAATGTTTGACTCCCGATAATTGTTTGACTCCCGTTAATTATTTGATTCCCTTAATTGTTGACTCCATTAATTGTTTGATTCCCTTAATTGTTTGACTCCATGAATTAATGACTCCCGTAATTGTTTGACTCCCGTAAATGTTATTTGATGTTTGTATGAGTGGTGTCAGAGTTTTGCTTTATTTTCATAGTAAGGAGATGTCAATCTCGAACGGTTGTTTGTTATCCCTCAGAAAACCATAGTTCTTGACTTTCCTTTTATAAGATCCTGATTAGGCTGGCAAGGGATTCATATCCCTAAGTCCCAAGCCTGTACAGCCTGGACAACGATTACGCCAGCTGATTCGCACAACCCTGGGCTTATAATGGCATTGTAGACATAAGAACTGGTTCTAGTCTCATTATTTTCGGTTTTGGACATTTTTTCCGTTATTATAGTTTTTCTTCCATTAACATCGATTCATGAGTTTATTATTATAATTATTATTATTATTATTTATTATTATTATATAAGGTGTGTGTGTGTATGTAACTATATTCGTATATCAATAGCACCTTTTTGATAAGATGTGGCACCTCCCTTAAAACTTTTCTACTTTTGGCTTTTGTATTTTATTCAAACATTCTTATTAATTAGAATATTAGAGACAAACACACAGTATATCTAAATATAGTGCGATATCAGGGGAGTCCAGAAAGGTTTTTACCCAATATCTGTCTTATGAGATATTATGTTATGAAGCACATGGGTATAGGTAGGCAAATTTATGCCGCCAAGATTAGGACGGATCTCAATTTTTAACTTTACTTAGTTTATTACCGACATTTTTAATTCTTATGACTTTGGTCTTTAATTAAATATCGGCTCATACAATAAGAAAAGAGATTGTGCAATCATAATCAACCGAATTACTACTCAAACACAAAGTGGAAATCATACAAAAGTATCATCTACTCTAGTACGTTGTTTTTCGAAGGTTGGTTCGTGAACCACTGAGTAAAATATCGGTGACCATCCTTGAATCGTGCACACCATCTGAACTGGTTCCCTTAAAATCAATAAGGAGTCCGAATAATCAATATTTCTGGAAAATTTGCATGAGAATTCATATATATTAATATACAAATAATACTTTACAATCAACGGAAAAAGACAGGAGAGTACGATATTGAAGGTGTCACAGTATTACTGTGCTAACCTAACCTAAACTAACCTAACATAATATAACCTAAACTAACTTAACCTTAGCAAAAAGCAGAAATATCGTGTTTTCACTCACACCCAGTTACACCATACTGTGCTACGTGGTGACTGAGAGTCACACCAGACTGTGCTACGTAGTGCCAAAGAGTCACTCCACACTGTGCTACTCGGTGGCTGAGTCACGTCAGACTGCACTACGTGGTGCCTAAGAGTCATGCCACACTGTGCTACGTGGTGGCTGAGAGTTACGCCACACTGCGCAGCGTGATGGCTGAGAGTTACGCCACAATGCTCTACGTGGTGGCAGAGAGTTACGCCACACTGCGCTACGTGTTGGCTGTTACACCACACTGCGCTACGTGGTGGCTGTTACGCCACACTGCGCTACTTGGTGTCTGAGAGTTACACTGCGCTACGTGGTGGCTTTTACGCCAAACTGCGCTACTTGGTGGCTGAGAGTTACGCCACACTGCGCTACGTGGTGGCTAAGAGTTACGCCACACTGTGCTACGTGGTGGCTGAGAGTTACACCACACTGCGCTACGTAGTGGCTGAGAGTTACGCCACACTGCGCTACTTGGTGTCTGAGAGTTACGCCACACTGCGCTACGTGGTGGCTGAGAGTTACGCCACACTGCACTACATGGTGGCTGAGAGTTACACCACACTGCACTACGTGGTGGCTGAGAGTTACGCCACACTGCGCTACTTGGTGTCTGAGAGTTACGCCACACTGCGCTACGTGGTGGCTGAGAGTTATAGTGGTGGTGAGAGTTACGCCACACCAATACGTGGTGGCTGAGAGTTACGCCACACTGCGCTACGTGGTGGTTGAGAGTTATGCCACACTGCACTACGTGGTGGCTGAGAGTTACGCCACACTGCACTACGTGGTGGCTGAGAGTTACGCCACACTGCGCTACGTGGTGGCTGAGAGTTACGCCACACTGCACTACGTGGTGGCTGAGAGTTACGCAACACTGCGCTACGTGGTGGCTGAGAGTTACGCCACACTGCCCTACGTGGTGGCTGAGAGTTACGCCACACTGCGCTACGTGGTGGCTGAGAGTTACGCCACACTGCGCAGCGTGATGGCTGAGAGTTACGCCACAATGCTCTACGTGGTGGCAGAGAGTTACGCCACACTGCGCTACGTGTTGGCTGTTACACCACACTGCGCTACGTGGTGGCTGTTACGCCACACTGCGCTACTTGGTGTCTGAGAGTTACACTGCGCTACGTGGTGGCTTTTACGCCAAACTGCGCTACTTGGTGGCTGAGAGTTACGCCACACTGCGCTACGTGGTGGCTAAGAGTTACGCCACACTGTGCTACGTGGTGGCTGAGAGTTACACCACACTGCGCTACGTAGTGGCTGAGAGTTACGCCACACTGCGCTACTTGGTGTCTGAGAGTTACGCCACGCTGTGGTGGTTGAGAGTTACGCCACACTGCACGGTGGCTGGAGAGTTACGTGGTGGCCGCCACACTGCGCTACTACGGCACACTGGCTGAGAGTTACGCCACACTGCACTACGTGGTGGCTGAGAGTTACGCCACACTGCGCTACACTGCGCCACACTGCGCTACGTGGTGGCTGAGAGTTACGCACACGTGGTGGCTGAGAGTTACGCCACACTGCACTACGTGGTGGCTGAGAGTTACGCCACACTGCGCTACGTGGTGGCTGAGAGTTATGCCACACTGCACTACGTGGTGGCTGAGAGTTACGCCACACTGCACTACGTGGTGGCTGAGAGTTACGCCACACTGCGCTACGTGGTGGCTGAGAGTTACGCCACACTGCACTACGTGGTGGCTGAGAGTTACGCAACACTGCGCTACGTGGTGGCTGAGAGTTACGCCACACTGCCCTACGTGGTGGCTGAGAGTTACGCCACACTGCGCTACGTGGTGGCTGAGAGTTACGCCACACTGCGCTACGTGGTGGCTGAGAGTTACGCCACACTGCACTACGTGGTGGCTGAGAGTTACGCCACACTGGCCTACGTGGTGGCTGAGAGTTACGCCACACTGCACTACGTGGTGGCTGAGAGTTACGCCACACTGGCCTACGTGGTAGTCTTAATAATGATACAGGTTGTTATATTAGTATCTATTTTGTATTAATTTTTCACCGAGTAGATTTAGGGATCTATATAGCGACAGTTTAAACACACACCCACACACACACCCACCCACACACACACACACCCACACACACCCACACCCACACACACACACACACACACACCCACACACCACCCTGTATCTCAATGACGACGTGAAGTCCTTCATATCAACACCAGAGGACAAGTTACTGCACCACGTGAACACCACACCACCTGGTCTCTCAATGACCATCCCAGGCACGGGCCATCAACTGTAAACTATAATAATTTGTATGTTCAATCATTGCTCCTTCTTCTTTCAGTAACGAATGCTTTTGTTAAACGACCCACCTACCTCCTGTCTTTGTATGTAATAAGTCATTTTTGTCCAATGTGTATTTTCAGCCTTCAGGCTGCAGAACTTTGTCAATAAACCGTTAATTATTATTATTATTAATTATTGCACACACACACACACACATATATATATATATATATATATATATATATATATATATATATATATATATATATATATATATATATATATATATATATATATATATATATATTGCTGGATGTCATGTTTATGACCTGACCTCATGTTTAGTAAGGTCACCCTGTGTACTTAAGCCTCTCTCGGTCCTTGTGATTCAGTTGCCTCTGAAGATGTCTTGAATAAAGACTAAAACTAAGGTGCTCCATTGTTTCTCTTTTCCTTGTGTGATTTGATTGTATCAAGATTTATCATATCCACGTTTTCATTGTGAATCTACATGAAAAAATAAATAAATAAATAAATAAATAAATATATATATATATATATATATATATATATATATATATATATATATATATATATATATATATATATATATATATATATATATCTCCCTTCATATTTCGACAGCATTCAAAATCAAAGAAATGTGAGAAAATTCGATTAAGTTTTATTAATGCATTTCTTAATAGTTACCTGGGTAACTTTAAGGCCTCGACCTCTCATCACTCTTATGTTTACCTTGCTCATATCTGTAGAAATCACCGATATACTTTTATACATTTTACGAGTTTTCATATTTTTTTTTCTTTCATTAATTCATAAAAAATTTTTTTTACGAAAATCCTAACTGGTGACATACATGAAAAGCCGGTGCTTACCCTGTGTTCAGCTGGAATGATCAAACAACTTTCTCGTTTTCGTCTAACGCTGCCAGCCGCTTTTGTTACTCTCATTTTCTGCTTGTTTCAATATGCATGAATCAAGGTCAGCGAGGATTATCATCATTTTCCCTGAGTTCCTAAAATCTGTAATTTATATATGAATCCTAATAACCTTAAGGTTAATGACGTGATGAAGCTTCGATAGCTTCCTTACAAAATTAATTATCACAACCTAGTTAACACCACGTTATATGAGGGGCTGGTTAGTGAAAGTTAGATCAAGCTTAAGTACAGTACATGACTCGGTAAGTTTTCACATACTTATGGCAGTTATCGCGTCACCTTATAACTGCAAATTAAATATTCCTATTAATGCAGTTAACTGCCATTAGTATGTGAAAACTTACCGAGTCATGTACTGTACAGTATAAGATTGTTGGTGTGAACAAGACTCATTAATTCTCGGACTCTGACCAAACATTACCTAATCTTGAACTAACTTACACTAACCAATCCCCTCATATGACGTGGTGTTAACTAGTTTGTGGTATTACAGGGTATTAATTTTGCAGGAAAGGTAACGGAGCTTCATCACGTTATTAACCTTAAGGTTATTAGGACTCATATAAATGTGTGAGTGTGTGCGTGTGTGTGTTTGTCGTGATAAATAGGAGGACTTCTAGTAATGAGAATAATAACTTTAGCTCAACCCCAAATTGAAAAAAAAACAGGTTTCCATCCTTCAATTTTCCTTTGATTTTCGGATATGTAAAAATAGAGTGACATGGATTTAGCTGCAAGCGGCTGAGTAACTCGGGAGGATGAGGGAAGTGTGAGTAGCTGCAGCAGACAGGAGAGATGGGGCTGCGTACCACTGGTCTGCCAGCATCGCACAGTCAATCCAACTCACGACACTAATACCACCGCTCCTCACTCTGTGCCTTAACCTAACCAATCCTCAACGCAGGGCTACAATGCGTCTGTCCACCTGCATTGTCCTCGATATGTGCAGTGATGCAATACGACATCAGGCGGTCTGTTCTACTATTGTTCCCAGACTAATTATGAAAGGATTTCTTAAGATAATATTCCATAATATTTAAAGGAATATTTGGATATTTGTTTTTACAATCTTTTTGCAAAGAAACTACGAGTATTTAAGGGTGTTCGTGAATTATATGAAAAAGCAGGAAAGGGTGAGATAGAAAGTTGGTATCAGTTGGCGATGATGTACTCGTATTGTGTTACCTCCTTGACGCTCTAGTTTTATGCAATTGAAAATGTGAAAACAATTTGTTTATTTTAATTTAAAACCTGAAACATATATATATATATATATATATATATATATATATATATATATATATATATATATATATATATATATATATATATATATATATATATATATATATATATATATATATATATATATATACAGTATAACTGGTATATTAATTTCTTCCACGCATTTATTAACTACAGTATATACCTCACCCGTACAAACTCACACCCACACACACTCATACACACAGATACTCACGTGAAGGCACACATAAACGCACGTAAACATACACTTACACGCGCATACACGTAAAACACACACATACACAAGAATACACACATACAGTACACACACAAGGTTAAATAAAATTTAAAGGAGAAGGTAGAAGTTGATAACTTCAACGTGATCACTCAAATGATAAAACATCGGTCTCAGTCACCTCAAGAATTCTATTGATTTGATTTCCTGTTGTGGAATTCGCTTAATTTTTTAAAGTGAAATGTTATTTGTTTTCCTTTCTATATTTTCAGTGTATATATATATATATATATATATATATATATATATATATATATATATATATATATATATATATATATATATATATATATATATATATATATATGCAAGTAAATCACTGTAGGTGCGCGTGATCTAGGTATATGCTGATAACCACAAGGAAAGAAGAAAACACGAAATTCCCAAGCGCTTTCGTGTACAGTAATTCACATCTTCAGGGGTGAGTACAGACTAAGGAGAAATACTTTCTTTTTTACTATCTGCAGTCAAGCTCATTAGTGCAGAGGACAGAACACATATGATTGTACAGATGCCACAACAACTGTAGACCTTGATGTTGAGAGAATAATCTAACTTAATTACATAAGTAATTGCTGCTCACATAAACGCGATCAAATAGAAATTTAACAGAGCACTTTCTCTTAGTAATGACGCGAAATCGTTTAAAAGAAAAAGTCGGTGCAAACACTGAAATAAACGCGACGCCAAACACATAAAGAATAATCACGTCACTCGCTGTCCATATGACTATTTTTTTTTTGCAATTTACATAGAAGATGCAAGTTAAGACTGTTCTCTGTGGCGGGGTACTCACCGTGCATCTGGGGAAGTCCTCTGGGTCTCGTACTTCTTTCCAGCCCAGTAATGGCGGGATAGAGACCAGGCCGGAGAAGAGCCACACCGCCACGATCATGATAGCTGCGCGTTCAGGTGTTCTCTTCTTTAGGTAGGCTACTGCGTGTGTGATGCTCCAATAGCGGTCTAGCGAGATGAGGCAGATGTTATTTATGGAAGCTGTGGATAAAAGGACGTCAATGGCGGCATGTAGCTCACACCAGAGGTCCCCAAACATCCAGTACCCCATCAGGAGGTTAGCGAGACTGAAGGGCATGATGACGAGACCTAACAGGAAATCCGACACTGCCAAGGAGGCTATAAACCAATTCGTGATGTTCTTAAGAGCTTTCTCTGTGGCAATAGCGATGATAACCAACATGTTGCCGACCACTACCACGATCATGGCCACAGTGATGATGACAGTGATGATTACTATCTCGAGAGTGCTGTAACCTGAGGGGTACATTGAGTTGCCCCACGGGTACACCCAGTAGGTCCCATTGAAAGTGTCATTGACGAGCGCCAGGGAAGCATTGCTGTCAAAACCTTCAACTTCTTGGTCGTAAGCTTCCCCATAATCCCGGAAACCGGCAGAATCCTCTACCTCAGCTGTCAAATTGACGGTCAACCCATCCATGGTTGGTTGAGAATATCTACCTCTGGTTACCAGTCGTTGGGTTAAGAAGAATCCAAAGTGTAAAGACCTGGTGCTGGTTTAAGTATTCAGAGATAGAGAAGAATGGGGAGGAGGAGGAGGTGGTGAGAGACAAGATGTGGTGCCAGCCTTTGTTATCAAAGATCAGCCGTGATGAGGGTCGGGCGTAGTAAGAGGCCAGGTTTGGTGAAGGCCAGACGTGATAAGAGCCAAGCTTCGTGATAGGCCAGACGTGACGAGAGGTCAGGTGTGGTGAGAGGCCAGACGTGATGAGAGGTCAAGCGTGGTTAGAGGCCAGGCTAGTAAAGGCCAGGCAGTTAAGGGCTAGACAGGTAAGGGCCAGGCTTGGTGAGGGTCAGATGAGTTGAGGGGTCAGACGTGGTGAGGACTAGGAGAGGGTAGCGGAAAATTTAGTCACCCTTGGACCAATGTACAGGAGATGTCTACATACTTAACTTTATACTAGCGAAAGTATCTGAGTAAAGTAATCCACAGGGGATACATGGTTCATTGTGTCCGTATCTTCTTGTTGTGCTCACATTTAATGTTTTATTTTTCCTTCCTTTTCTTCTGGGTATTGTGCGATATTACTAATTTACGGGTAAATGTTTGGGCAAAAAAGTTTATTTACTGAGAATAGTTTCTCTTGGTCAAGATTGAATGAAATTCTTTGCAAAACATCGTATTTCCTAATTTTTGAATATTATTTGTTTTCTCTTGCGTTTGTTTATTGATTGCAACACAGCAATCTAGACATAAGAAAAACAAATAACTTTTTATTGCCTGGATCACCAGTCAGATAAAAACTCGGGAACATTTAGTGCTGGGAGCGACTTCACCACACTACCAGATCCCACCACTTTCATTTATACTCTATGTCAAGATGAGCAAGAAAATTCTCCTTTTCTTCGTCTGGCACAATTATTTCTTAATGTTTTTTTAACCGGCAGTTACAGGGATTTTGTCGAGGCCACACACAAACAACACACTTTTTTTTACATACACGGGTAAAACACTTATTGTAATCTTCCTGCTGATAACTAATTACATCCATGTTAATAACACTTTTTGATGTTATATGTAAAGACCAAATGTACAAGTCACAAATTTGTATGTATCAGGGTATGATTTAATTTTTTTCTATTTTATAATATATGCCTATCACTTTTTCAAGCACCAATTTGTTCAATCAATCTCTTGGTTTAGGTTTTCAATTACATTATGTAACAGCAATATATGAAAGAATCATCTTGTTCATTACTTTATTTGACAATATTCGTGAAGCATTAGTGGGCAGTAAATTTTATTGGTCATCGGACGAAATATTTTCAGTTCCAGTACACTTTTTTGTACGAACTTATCCCGCGATAGAATGCAGCCAAGTGATCAGCAACCCCAGGGAAAGGTTCAGACATGCTTTATATCTTCTGATCACCATCCTGGGAGAGTAAGGGTGTGAACGCGTGTGTAAACTAGTGATTTGTGGAAACATCCCGGCATCACTACATGCGAATCATCTTGTGACACACAATCCCTCTTTTGCACTACCCATACAAGTCCAGGGGTGGGCCAGGGCCGACACTTTCTTCATAGTGATGGTTGATCCACGTCGCCACACCACTAGTTGACGCAGACACTGTTGAAGCTCGCACACCGGGCCGCTGGGGGTAAGATATACCAGTTGGGATGGGGGGGGGGGAGATGTTGAGCCGAGAGCGAGGAGAGGTGTGGTACACGCGTCCGTTCTCAGTGACTGCGCGGCGCTGACTGGCGAGGCCAAGCCACCGTACGTGGCTGCTGGGAGCAACAGATCGCGCACCCCCACACATCAGGTTATAACATTCCCTTCCCCCCCAACACCCCAACCCATCTCGTAGTCCAAGAACCCCAACCCGCCTCTGCGCGTACCAGAAACAACCAACAGAGCGACCCTCCACCCCCTCATCCTCCCCACTCTGTTTACAGGGTAGTGCTGAGCCCCCATGTGCACATGACAAATGCGTACTGAAATGTATGTGTGTATCCGGAGTGAAGTTGTACCTGTACACAAATGGGCTTCTCTGTTGATTGTAGGATTTTAGGATAAGATTTCGCAATGAAGTGACGATGATGAATTTTAATGGCGTATTTGAATGTTTTTCCCATGACTACCTGTAAGTGATATACAGGTAATTCGGGAATGTTTTCATAAGCACACACACAAACATATTTGCCTTCATAGATATATAGATAGACAGATAGTTGGATAGATAGATAGATAGATAGAAAGATCTCTCTCTCTCTCTCTCTCTCTCTCTCTCTCTCTCTAACTTTTAAACCTCAAGCTTACGATTCTCCAGTGCCAACCGTCTAAGTGTAAGTACTGTAACATCACCAAGAAGTTTAACTCCTCACTGAAAATGGCTTCTTCCAGCAAAGGTTTAGTCACTAGAGTGCGTATTTCGTATTTGTTATGTGTGGCTGGACTTCCAAGCCAGAGTAGGTGGCAAATGCCCCCATTGGGCTTTAGTTAAATCAGAATGAGCCTCCACTGATGGGTTAGCCACATAGTTCTCAAGACTGAACATGATTGCAGCGAGAAGGGAGATAATTTAACCGAAAATAAGCTCAGCTAAATAAATAACAAACGATGGAAGAGATGCTGCAGACGTTGTTAGTGTTCCTTCCAGGTATCAGGCATTACAATGATGTCGTTCAAGTAATTCCAGGTTCCTTCAAGGTCTCGAGTGGTTTTGTTCATCATACGCTGGAAGGTGGCAGGAGTGTTTTTAAGTCCGACGGGCATAAACAAGTTTTGCCACATGCCATCTGGGGTGACAAATGCCGAGATGCTTCGAGCGTTGGGAGTGAATGGTACCTGGTAGTAACGTTGCTGGAGATCAACTTTGTTGAGATATTTCGCTGTTCCTATGGTGTCGATGATGTCCTATAGACGAGGCAAAAGGAAGGAGTCGTCAACCACAAGGGGATTCATGGGACAGGGCAGGCTGTCTAGTGCCTGTACCGGCAGACAATAACTAACCCATGACACAACCCAAACACACTATTAGCTTAGCTAGGCGGTCAGCCCGCCCTCTCTTACCTCCTCCTGAATTTCTTCAATTTCCGAACTATAACTTCCTTCCCCCACCTCTAATCTTCCTTCATTCCTCCTTTCCCTACAAAAAAAAAAGAAAAAAAAGGCTCAGCATTTCGTACAAAGGCGGTCGGCCCCCTCACCCTAGGGAGGCCCATGGACAGTCACTAAGCTCGATGAGATTGTTTTCCACCATGTTCTCCACGGCCTTCCTCATACCTAGTCTCTTCTGGGTACTAACTCGGTAAGGGACTTGTTTCATAAGTTGATTCCCTTCAACTAATTTGATGTCATGCGTCACTAGGCTACTCTACTTATTACCACTACTTTGCTGTCACTCAGAATCGAGTATGGCGATCATTCAGCTATGATACAATGATATGAGTTATTAAGGATGTTACCTAGGTAGGTGAGTTCTGAGGTGGCTAAAGAGGCCGATACGGGACTGGCAGGGTCGATCACAGATGTTGCACATGTGGAGGGTTACATCTAGTGCGTGAGGGGCGGCGGCAGCGTCTTTCCGACGTTGGCGCTTGTCTACCTCGTTATACAGTCGGGCTAACTCGAAAGCATTGACATCTTCTCGAGTAGTGCTACACCAAGTGTTACGGTGTGGAGTAATCGTCTCCCAGTGAGGGGGTCGATTTGGCACTTTTTCATGTGTCTTATGAATATCCTTATACCTTTTCAGTTGCCGTCAGCATTTCGTTTAATGTTCGTTAGGTGACTGTAAAGTAGTTGCTTTGGAGTCTACTGTCGCCCATGCAGGTAACACAGCCAGTCCAATGTAGTTGTGCATTGGATAATGGCAGCCTCGATGCTTCTACAGTTGGTGTCAGCAAGAATACTGGCATTTGTTTTCTTGTTTTCCCAGCGAACTCGGAGGATGGAACGTAGCATACGTTGGTGAAAGTTTCCAGGGGCCTTGAAGTGCCTTCTCTATGTGGCCCATGTCTCGCTGCCATATAGCAGGGTGTGGAGGACTACTGCTCGTTATACATGTTGCTTTGTGGATAATTTCAGCTCCCTACAGCTGAAGACACGGTTTCGGAGTCTGCCAAAGGCTTGAGATGCACATCTGATCCGATGCTGAATCTCTTCATCGATGTCCGCGGTGGTGGACAGGTGGGGGCTAAAATACCGAAAGTGGGTAACATTATAGAGGGTAGTACGGTTAAGCTGGATGGATGGTGGAGGTGTGGCTGAACCAGGGGCAGGCTGAAAGAGAATCTGAGTCTTACGTATATTCACCTCAAGACAGAAGAGTGCATACTCATCTGCTTAGGTGTTCAGGACCTCCTGTAGGTCGCATTCAGTCTGAGTGACAAGGGTGAGGTCGTCTGCTAAGTAATGGAAGCTGCCGACAGCTTTGTTCCTGCCTAGAGTCGTCTTATTTTGTTAAAACCCTTCATCCGGTACTCGATGTTCACACCGCCGGCTAGATTGGCGCTGGCACGAGTAAGGAATGCAGCCAAGAAAATGGAAAAGAGAGTTAGTGCCAGTACACACCCTTGTTTAACACCCGTTTGGGTGGGAAAGAGTTCAGACTGCGTGCCATTGTGCAGGACATTGCCGTTCATGCCATCGTGGAGTTTCCTCACAATGGCAATGAATTTTGGAGGGCAGCCAAAACGGCTACAGACAGCAGCGAGATCCCGCGGTAGTCGCCACAGTCTGATCGGTCTCCCTTGTTCTTATGAATATTGTTGATGGATGCATCTTTAAGAGCTTGGGGGATTTCCTCCTTTTCCCATATACAGTATTCTCCAAGAGAGAGTGGAAACGACTGGTAAGCAGAGATCCTTCTGCTTTATAAACCTCGGCTGGGATTCCATCAGGCCCTGAGGCTTTGTTATTTTCCATCATTTTGATATCAGTAGCTACCTTATCCAGGGATGGAGGATAGCTGAGGGTGGGTCAGCTCTGGATGCTGAAGGACTTGCTGGGTAGTCAGGACATCCACATCAGTGTTTCGGTTGAGCAGTGAATGGTAGTGTGCTGTCCAGCGCTTAAGGAGGCCTTCATCGTCTTTAATTATGGAGTTACAATCGGTCGACCGAAGGGGGGGGGGGGGTGCCATAAAATGTTTTAGTGGAGTTGAAAAATTCGTGCATCTTGTGCTGATCTGCAAATTTTTATGTTTACATGCTTTATTTTTAAGCCGGTCGTTCTTTAGAAGCGTAAAGTTCCCGTAGGGACACAGCTTTCTTCTTGCAGAAGGTATCAGCTTTGGTTCGAGACAGGATTGTTCTGCCAGTCAGTTAAAGCAGCACATTTTTCATCGACGAATGCATTGATTGCCGCGTCAGTTTCATCAAACCATTCCTGGTGTATTTTTTCGATCTGGTCGAGGGTCACTCTGCAGGTTTTTGTCATGACAGTGTCGAGAATCTGCACCGGAATTTGGGTTGTTTATTGTCGGGTTGTTTATTAGTCCATGTTCGAGCTGGTCTCTGAAATCAAGTGCTACCACTGGAACCTCCAGATGCTTAGTGTTAAAACATTTTCTGGAGGCTTGCTGCCTTCGCCGTTTTGGGGCGCCATGAAGTGAGAATTTGGCTCTGACGAGCTGATGATCAGTGTCGCAGTGGTCTGAGCCACGCATGGTATGGGTGATGAGGACATCTCGGCGGTCACTTTCTCTGACAATGATGTAGTCAATGTGATGCCAGTGTTTTGATCGTGGGTGTTGCCACGAACCCTTGAACTTGTCGGCCTGCTCAAACAAGGTATTGGTGAAAGTGAGGTTGTGTGCAGCACACTTGATGAGGCAAGTAGACCATTGGGATTACACCTGCCTAGTCCATTTCTCCCTATGGTTCCCTGCCAGATGTCCATATCTCTGCCAAATCTGGCATTAAAGTCACCAAGGAGCACAACCTTAGCTTCTCTGGGGATAGAGGTTAGCACTTTGTTGAGGTCGGCATAAAAGACTTCCTTGATGTCATCCACTGCATCCAGTGTTAAGAACATAAGAACATAAGATTGGAGGAAATTGCAGCGGGTCTATTAGCCCATACTGGGTAGTCCCATTTACACCCAACCCCTATTGCTCATATATACATCCAAGCCTATGTTTGAAGCTATCCAGCGTATTCGAGATAATGATGATATTTGGTAAATTGTTCCACTCATCCACTACTCTATTTCCAAACCATTGTTTACCAATTTCGCGCCTAAATCTAAATTTGTCTAATTTAAAACCATTGTTACGAGTTCGCTCCTGGTTGGATAGTTTGAGTACCTTTGTAATGTCCCCTTTGTTCAACCCTGACTTCCATTTAAACACCTAGATCATATCGCCCCTCACTCAACGTCTCTCGAGGGAGTGCAAATTACGAAGCTTTAACCTGTCTCTGTTCTCAAGGTTCCCAATGCCCGGGATTAGTCTTGTCATTCTCCTCTGAATTCCTTCCAAGGATTCTATATACATTCTGTAATACAGTGACCAGAATTGAACTGCATAATCCAAGTGGGGTCTCACGAGCGCAAGATATAGTTTGAAGATGACCTCGCTAGTCTTGTAACTAACTCTCCTTTGTATGAACCCATGTACTCTATTAGCCTTGTTTCGAGCAAATGCACATTGTTTACTTGGCTTAAGAATCCTACTTATCATTACTCCTAAATCTTTCTCGCAGTCGGATTTCTCAATAACATCATTGTTCATGTGGTATC